TATATATATATACACATAAAAATTTATTACCCAGAGTGTGCTAGATACAGTGCAAACACACGGAAAGTAATAGTGCTTAAACTGTAGTGCTAACAATCTAGGGTAAACCAGTAATAGGCCACTAGGTAGAACATAACAGTTAAGGGATCAACATAATGGTAGCAGGGTGACTATAGACTATTCCCAGATGTTCCCTGGTTCTGCCACTGTCTTGTGGCGAATCTCTACCTGATCAAACCAGAACACAGGAAAGAAATGAATGGACTTGCAGGTCAGCCCGGGACCTATGCTATGAATAGACACTCTGCTTTTAACATGCAGACAATTGTAACGAGGGGGGGAAAAAAAAGGGTGGAATAAGTCTACCTATTTACCTGTAGTAACTGACACTCTGACTTCCTTTATTTAATTACTTGTTCTCTCTAACAGAAATAGCTACAATGCTGACCAAGTGTGCTTTACAAGTTATGCAATTCTATGGTTCAACAGGAACCTTGCGCTGTACTAATAGTACTCTACTATGTCTGTGTACAAAGCAATTTTGTTGAATATATAGTACTCTGGAATGAGCAGAAGAGCACTATTTTAAAATTTATCTTAATTCATGAAGTTGGATAAAAAAGCAAATGGCAGATGTTAAAAGCAGTAGCTCTCTAGGCTTCTAGATTTATGATGAATTACTGTAATGAAGCTTTCACTGCCTTAATTTTTTTAAAAACATATTTCTAAAGTATTAACTGGAATAATCTATTATAAATTAAAAAGTGTGCATATATATGTGTATGCATCTCATAGGGTAAAGGTCTAGAAAATTCTAAGTAGTATGAATAAGGTTGACAGGGTGTAGGAGGAATAAAATTAAACTAGTTATACCTTTATTTCGTGAAATCTCAACTTTTCATTAAAAAGACACTTTAATTTTCACAGTTCCAAAACTTCCAACCAAGTATCATAAACACACCGCTTTCAGAGAAAATAGCTCTAGAAATAGAAACCTACTTTGCCAGACACCTGACTGAAGCATTATCAATAAAACCTGATGTTGATACCATTCCATAGTTGATCACTGAAGAATGGTATGAGGTCGGAGTGAAGAGGATACTGGGGACGGGAATTGGGCAGCATCAGCATTATTGTCAGCTAAGAGAATCCTTACTGAAAACACAAGAACCAGCACATAGAAGAGGAGAAAGACAAGACAGGAGGAAGAGTTAAAAAAGAATGGAAACAGTAGCAGTCCTGAAAAAAAAATCAACATTTTCTCAATAAAGGACACAATGAAGTCCTGAATAAATCAATGATGATGAAAAGCAAAGGTCAGTTATTACAAAAATGCTGTACTCTGTATGTTAGGCCTTGGGTAAGTTTCACTGCGGGGGTGCCAAACACAGAATGAAGTATTCTTCATCTATACCCCAACTGACAGCCCACAGGCAAAACAAAACTCAGACCTCTGAATACATTAATAGGTGAATTGACCAGATTCTGGCAATGCAAGAAGGGAAATGCTGCCCCAGCACAGTAGTACCAAAAAACACTATCCAGTCGTGACATGGTTCTACGGGGTTATGCTATATTAAAATACCTGAGCTCCTCCCATGTAAAAATACACACCAGCTGACGTCCTGCACAGAGATTTTACATTCTTTCTAATGTGTACAGCTGGGCTGCTGAGTTCATACCTCAAACTATGGCACACCAAACATCATGGATGAAGTTTGCATATTTCATCCCAAGCTTTGGAACAGAACCCAGCTCTTTTGATTTCCAGGTTACCAGAGAAGACCATAAAACAATCTCTGTAGTAGAATACTTGAATATATGTCATTTTAATATAGAATGTTGATCTTTTCAGGGGCTCATTTTTTTAATGGGCTTAAAGTAAACTGGTTTGATCAGAAATAGCTTTTGGATTAAGTAGGAACATGAGAAATACTAGTCCCAATAGTATTCCTTTAAAATAATGAAGCTACATGGGACTGCTAAAAGTATATTCAGGTATGTTTGGCTAAAGACACATTAGTGTATATGGCTGTTAGCCATTTGGCATGATTTCTGAATTCTGATATAATTTTAAGTAATATCCCTTACTTGTGATAATAATAGTATCATTTAGTAAATGATACTAATAAAATCTCTACTCCATGTAAAAAACAAGTAATACTGAGGCATGCTTACTGTAAAAAGCATATAAGGCAACTTTTCTGCAGTGTCTTCACCTTATTACTGAAGGGAAACACTGCAATATATAAAGTCAAACTCATATATTCGCATTTTTGTGGAAGAGGAACAAAGCAAGTAATCTCATTACACAAAGTCAACCTCTGAGTGCTTTGACAATGAACACTGAGTCAATCTCCCCATTAAGTCAGGGTGTACACGACAAATACATTCTACTTGAAGTGCCAAATTTAATTCCAGCATGATCACTTCAGGGGCCAGTTCTGCAAAGTGCAGCAGCCATGGCACAGCATACAATTGCAGCATAAGTAACTATACACTACTGCTAAACACATTCTAAACTCTATTGTACAATAGCTTTTGTCTGAGTAAAGCTATTTTAACCACAGATCATATTTGTTCGAGCAAGTTTTTCTACCTGTTTTTCCACTGAACCTGAGCAAATCATTCAGTGACTAATTTACTTGGTACATTTTCATTTGTTGTCATTCGTAAGTAATTTATAGCTTTAGCACCTCTATTGTTTTTGCTTTTAAATACGTTCTGAGTTTTTGTTTCTTTATAAAGAGTTCTTTGCAAATTATTCACAGACCACACTCAAAAACCCCTTCAATTTTTCAAGTGTGGACTTTTAATGTGATTGGGCATCACTAGGTGAAGTTTTGGTTGTTTGATAAGAGTCACTAGCCTATGCCTTGTAACTATAAATCACTCAACTCTCAGTTCCTCTGAGTTCAAGCAAAGCTACAAACTACAGTTTCTTTCTGATCAAGAGATTCGGGAAGAGAGAAGATTCCTGAATATCTTAATCTGATGACTGGCTTTGGAGAGCTAGAAGGAAGGCAGAAAGCAGGATACAGAAGAGAGCAGAACAGGTGAGAAACACAAAAGGAAACAAATCTCCAGGAAACCAGAGGAGCAGCAGGAGAACCTTTTGTCATGATTCAGTTAATGTAAAACTGATCTTTACTGACGTTCTGCCACATGATTCCTATCAGGCGGCTGATACCTCTATTTACACTTCAGGGAGCGCGGTCTGCCTTAGTCCTAAAGTCTCCCTCTGCACATCCAGTTTATCCCTCGTCCCAGTACAACCTTTTTATCTCTTTATTAATCTGAAAGAACACTCTCAATTCTAGTCATAGATTTTAAAATAATACATTTAAACATTCTTTAAACAAGAGTATGTTCACACATATATATTCAGATGAAAGAAGTCTAAATGCATGAAACATCCTCCTCAGATAGAAATTGTCTACGCACCTTTCTGGGCCATTTTTTTGTATTAGTTTCAAAGCATATAAAATACTAATGCATTTCCACTATTTTAAGAACTTTATAAACATATTAGAAATGTATTATTTGGATATTTGAACACACTATAATCTTGATCGTACCAGACATTTTCCTATGGCTCTCCCACTGCCCTATTTATCTTTCCTGACAACTTTGCTGGAAGGTCTTCTATGTGTGATTCTACACACATAACAATTGCAGTTACTCATTTGTGCCATACATACAGTTTTGGTTATAATATGGGAATATGTTGGTATTTACACATGCACACACATATATACTCTTACACACCATTAGTGATTCTTAATTTTGCTCAATAAAATAATTATTCATTTAATCTGCCAAACTTTCCCATTAAATTGACTTAAATACTTAAATGTAGTGCCTTACTGAAAGGAAAAAAAACCAACAAAAAACACCCCAGAAGTTTCAAGGAAGTTGATTGCTTTTCAAGTGTTTTATTTAAACCATACAATTTAAAATAGATGTCTAAACTTATTTCCGACAGGATAAAAACTCACTCTATTGAAACAGAATATTTAGTTCCCCAGGCAAAAGTTCAAACCTGGGTGCTTTGAAATAGCAAATATTTTATTATCAGGCACTTCAAAAATAAAGGATGCTTCTGGAAATACAAGTATGTATGCCTGGTATTCTATCTGCAAGATAGATATATCTTCTGTTGCTTTTTTTTTGTCCATAAAGCTTTCTGGACAATCAGGTTAAAAAATATCAGCTCATCTGAATGACAGGAGAGAAAAAAGAGACTAAAAAAGTGAAACTCAGAAATATTCTGTGAACACAATTGGTTTCAAGAACTTTGACTGGATTCAGAAACCCCACAGAGTCATGTACACCATTCAACTCTTCACTTACATCTAAGCAGCAGATCCAAAAGACATATTATGAACAGGAATTATGTATGAAAAACTATCAACAAGGAACACACCACTGGAACAGGCTCTCATTATCAGTGTTCTCTACCCTTTCTTCTCCCTGTTCCTCAAGCACATGGGTGGCATTAGCATCACAGGAGCTTATTCGATAAGCGGTATACCTATCTCCCTCTTTTGTGAACATTTTGTACATTACATAGCACAAGAAAACTAAAAAGATGAGTGTTCTGCCATAATCTCATGTCTGACAAAATAATCCTAGAATTTTTACGCTAAGTATTGGATGTTAAAAACATCTGTACTTAATTCAACAAGTGATACACCCTAGTAGTGTACAGAAGAAACCCAGAAAATGGCACCTCAGTATTTTTTTGGCTTATGTACACAGTTTTAAAAAATTTTTTTAACTCACTTACCGCCATCTCCTGGTACTTAAAAGGTAATAGTATTTATGTTATATAACAGCAGCCAGTACTCCTGTTCAATACTAGTGAGATGCTGAAATGCAAACAATTTCTTAGAAATATTTTTAAAATATTGCTGTTCTTTCTACATTGCTGCTTTTTATTCTGGAAACAGTGAATATTGTTCTTGGGCACAAACTGGTAAAAGATTCATGCAGCTTACCTTTGTCTGGAAGCAGCAGTAAAGTTGTGTTAGGTATGGATGTTTCCGTGCTAATGCCAGAATTCTCTTTTCTGTCATTGTGCAGTCTACATCATCATCTTGAAGTATGACATCTTTCTTCAAGACTTTCACTGCGTATACTTCATCTTTTCCTTTTAGCTCAGCTAACATTACCTGAAACAAGCAGAAATTCTGTTTATATGTGAACAAGACACCCTAAATGCAGTGTTGCATATGAGTTGGAACTGGAAGTATAAAGACAATTACATACTTGTCTTAATGAAGTTGTACGTTTATAAAATTAAAAGCGATGTCATTTTAGAAAAATATACCTCTGGTATTCCTTAAATTTGAAAGAGAGTATTTATTTTATGTATTAGTTAAGAATACAGAAGACAGAAAGGTTTTATCCCTTCATTCAAAAATCTTAATGAATGCCTACTAGCGAGATCTCAAAAACTAAAAAAGGGAAGAAGTTGATCTAGAAACAAAATTTATTTCCACTTCGATCTAGAACAGAAATTTATTGCCCACTTTTATGTCCCACTTTTGGTAGTGAGATTTTTGTGAAGTACTTGGTATACAATCCCACACACCATTCTGGCCAGTTTAAAGTTGTTCATTTGAACTACTACTATTGTTTAAGGTTCAAGTCCTACGCTGTGTTTAAGGTCAGTTCTGGCTTGGAGCCAAGCTAAACTTCAGAGAAAGGATTAGAAAACCAGGAGACAAAGGAACTGCTTCAGTCCTGTTCCTCTGCCTCTGCAGTTCCCGTATTTCAAGCAAGGAAGAGTGTACTTGGGAAACATTGACATTTCAGTCCTGCTCCTTGATTCCATGGTGCACAGCACTGAGAAAAGAAAACGTGTAAACCCTGTAAGTAGAGCAATGCCCCTCACAACTTGATCAGTTCCCTGCTGTGGGAAGGTATCTGCTGAGTTATATCTTTGCCACATACGTGGTACTTGGGGCCGCTGTCTAAGACTCTTGCGCTCGCCATATCTGAGTGGCAATGATTAAGTTCTGCTTCCTCCAGCAGTGGACACGCCCACTGAGGGAAAATAAGCACAGAAACTGTTCTGTGAAATGAGCAAACTTGAGCTGGCTATTATCTAGAAAGGCAATGAACTCAGAACTCCATAGCACTATTCCTGAGCTGATTTTTCCTGCTTGACCACAACTAATTATCTTGTCGAACAACATGTATGTAACTGTATATATGTCTTCATTACCAATGTCCTGAAATAGTGAAACATTGACATTTTGGTTCAAAAGACTTGACCCTAGTTAATGAAGTGAGCTAAACCACAGAAAATGCCAGGTGATCAGGAGGGCTTGGTCCTTTCCAACTCCTAACATTCTGTGTTTCTGTGATTCCTGATCCATGGGATAAAAGCTGCTTTTACCCAATGGGTAAAAGGAAGCTCCTACCGTGGAAGCACTTTCTGAACATCACTATGAATACTTTCAAAGCCGTACAGTCAAAAAAAGCCTGCAGGGTAGTTTAAAGAAAAAAAAACAACAAAAAGTAGCAGCTACTCACCTTGCCAAAGCTGCCTTTTCCTAGTACTTTGATGAAATTGAACTCTTCAAGTCCTATTCGCTTGGTCTGGGCCTGTTTGACCTCCCCATTTTCACCATTCTCCCCAGTTTTGCCAAGCTGGTTGTCTGTTGACGATGTAGCTGCTGCTCTGTGTTCCTCTCCCCGATTGTCAAATGACAACGCTTTCCTAATGTTGTTCTCCAGCTCTTTGATTTCTGTGGAAATGTGAGAAAAAAAGCGTTCATTTTAGCCAACCATCAGAAAATCAGTCTGTGTTAGTCTGTACCAGCTTTGGGAAAAGACATTCATCATCCTCAAATGTTGTGTACAGCATTCTGTGGTTAAAAATACATATTTAGCAAATGGCTCCTCCACCTTACAGTAATCGGCCAAATCCCTGCTCTAACAGGAAGGGTGGCCTTTTAAAAGTAACCTGAGAGAGTGACGTACCCATAACTTGAAAGATAAGCCAGAACAGCAGTGAAGTAGTTGTTTTAGTGATTTTGGGTGTTCCTGTGCCACAGAGAAGTATCTCATTTTCAATATCTTCCTGCAGCACTTACTCATCTTCCTGCTTAAGTATTTTGGAGTTCTATGTTCAAAGATTCCAAGGACAGTTGGGCATCCCAGGCCTTGAAATCAACATGAATGAAGCACCTTACTCAGGCCCGGCTGTTAATAGGCACCTGCCAGTAAAGTTTTTGACCGCTTCCTAGCTCCGCTTCAAGAAGCAATTGTGTAGATCAGCAAAATGGTTCTGAAAGTTTCTCAGTGTTAAATACAGTGAGACCTGGTGACTAATGGACCTCGGGGTCTGCCTCAAGTTCATAGAATCATAGAACAATTCAGGTTGGAAAAGACCCTTGGGATCATCGAGTCCAACCATTAACCCTACACTACAAGTTCACCCCTAAACCATATCACCCAACGCCACATCTAAGCGACACTTGAACACATCCAGGGATGGCGACTCAACCACGTCCCTAGGCAGTCTATTCCAGTGTCTGACCACTCTTTCCGTGAGGAATTTCTTCCTAATGTCCAGCCTAAATTTGCTCTGTTGCAACTTGAAATCATTCCCCCTGGTTCTGTCCCCTGTTCTTGCATACAACTTCTGCCTCACGGCCCTGGAAACAACAACTTTACTGGGCAGCTACAAAAGTGAAATTTAAGTGAGAATATAGACAAATTCCTTGTTTTTATTTTAAGTAAACATCATACATTTAAAAAACATTATTTAACCAAAATATTGCCTGTGAAACAAAAAGGCTGACAAATTTCAATCGGTTCTGGACTCTGAGTTTTACGGTTTTATTACCATGGAGTTTTGGAAGTGTCTTCCCTAAAAATAAGGCAGAGAAATGTCTCAGTTGGACACAGTTTTCAAAGAATCTGACAGAAAAGTATCTGTCTTCCTATGCCTGGGTTTAAAGATTTTTTTCATTCATCAGTTTACACATGTGATGCCTATAAGATACCTCACAGACTTCGGATTCCTAAAAATAACAATTGGAGCAGATTCAAAAAGTGCTGCTGACATACACCTTCTATCAATCAAGCTGTTCAGCTCAATAAAATCAGGTCATATTAGTGAAGATTAAAATATATGTCTCCAAATCCATGCCTGAAAAAAATCACTGAAAGGAAACGTGGTTTTACAAAGCCTCTAGAGACCACACAGACATGTTAGTATAGCTTAACTGGACGGAAGTTTTATTACCACAAAGTGTTCAAGACAGAATTGCAAGGAGGCAATTTTATCTCAAAAACTTATTAACAGATAGAGGCTTTTCAGATAAATAAAGGCTTGCTCAAGTTCTGTGGTACTACTTAAAATGTTCTCACTTTTACAATAGAATATATAACCTCCTTACATAAAGGTATTTTGTTAGGCAAGAACTTATCTAGTAAACTTAATACTGTAAGGTGACTCATAATTTTCTGTGTAAAAGCCACTTAATTTCAGAGATCTAAATGCAGTTCACAACTTCAAGAGCTTCATTTTCTGGTGGTAACCACTTCATTGGTTTGGTTCTACAAAGGCTTTGGCTGAAAGCCTTTTTCTCCTCATAAAGAGGAAAATATGTGAAAATATGTATCAGTTAGGAAATAAAAAGAGGTGTTTGACCTTGATCACACGGAGAAGTTGGTGCTGACTTTGACCTATCTTCTTCTGATGATGCGCTTCCAGGAACTGGTTGCTGAGTCTCTGCACCTGCAATTAGCTAAGAACAATTCCAAAAGGGGTACTCAGCTATGAGATTCTCCTGTGTCAAGAGGAAATTTAATTTATCATTATTAATTCACAAGTAGAAGCATAAAGAAAAGTGAAGATGTTCTAACACTGTAGAGTCTCACTAGCAGGACCTCAACCACACAGTAGATGGCATCATATAAAAAAGGAAACATAATATAAACAGAGAAAGAACCAGCAATTTAAAGAAACGAAGGCTCTTAAGATAACTGTAATAAGCATATCCAGAGAATGGGAAAGTTTTGAATAGTCATGAGTCTGTGCAGAAATCCATCTGGTAAATGCATTAAATTACAAGGCGTATCATCAAGCACCGCAAACTAACTCATGCAGTAACAATATTACAATCCTTTCACAGGAGTAACAAATTAATTAATTTATTCCAGAGTTTTCTATGTTTCTGTAACATTACTAAAACAGCTTACACTGGAACTAAGTGTGCAATAACCAGGAAAATTACAGAACCAAGTGTCAATATTTTAAAAAATTATGGTAAACATTTCGTATTTTGTAAGTGAGACAGCACTTACAAAAATGGGTCTGTTGCCACAACCGTGCAAAGAGAGGTAGAAAGTGTGGCCGAATTCTGAGCCAGGATACATATTATCAATCCAGAATAACTCCATCAGCTTTGGATATACTTGAGGTGACTGATGTTTTTTACTTTTAGAATACCCTAGTTCTTCCTATAATAGTGATGGTAACTCTGGAATCATCATTTGGCAAGCAGCTCCTCTTCATGAGAATCAGCACATTGCTCATTTATCAGCATTTACAATGCCATAGAGTAGTGTTGGGTCTCAGTCAATCAATTACTCCAAGTCAATTCTGAGCCAGAGACATTTATGTTTTTAAGAAATTGTGTCAGATGCTGTCTCTCTGTCAAATCTCCTTCCTCAAAACTAAAAAGAAGAAATCCTTACAGACTCTATACAGACTTCAGGTTTGAAAACTGTAGCAGGACAAAATAAACTTCATATAAAAATACAGAAAAACTTATTTTCACAAAGAAAAAAAACCCTAAAGTCTCAGTTTTATACTGACTCAAAAAGAAATTCTTGTGCAAGTCAAGTGAGTGGGATTGAACCCCAACTAGTACAGTTACAATACAGGCATACTCATCTGATTTTTTAATATGACACTACATAGTAAAATCACCTTTTTCCTCCTCTGCCCACTATTAGTGATCTTATCTGGAGTGACTCCAAGATCTGCAAGAACTTTAGCTATGCCTCTAGCATCCACTCCACAGTTTGGTGCCACATTTGTTTCACAGCGTCGATGTACATTCATCTTGCAAACTGCAATGAAATGTAAAGTAATAAAGTAAAATAAATATTACCCTGGCATCCATTGTTCTTACTTAAATCAGACCTTACTGGACCTATCACGAGCTTTTACAAATAAATATAATTTCAGCAGAAAAATTCTTAGCTGAATTTGCAGTGATACATCAATGATAACATAAAATTATTAACCTGGTTATCATTCCTATGCTAGAATAACGAAGAACAGTGTTTTCACAGAAAATCCAGAACAGACATAGGAACAAATAAAACTATCTAGTGATCTGTGAATATTGAACAGAATTAGAAGAAATGCCCTTCAGAACCTGGACTTTAGCAGCCCGCTTCAATTCCCAAACTGAGAGCACAACATTGGTTCCTCACTCTATTTTACTCAAGCAGATTAAAACCAACAGTGTCTTAAGTTTTAATAAAAATCTTTGGCACTGCTAGACACTCTCTTTCTCTAGATGGCAATCCATCTTTCTCTTAAACACCATCTCCTGAAATGCACATACTAGTAAGAGCTAAAAATGTTACATTGCTTCCAGTTTATGGCGTAGGGGGGAGAACAGAGCTCCACAAAAAATAGCATAGCACGGATTTGTTAGGCACAGACGACATATTTAATCTTAGACTTCACTGCCCTCTTGTGGACAAAGGCATAAAGAAAACAAAACTGCAAGTATAATTAAATACTAGATTAACTGCTCCAATTCCTCACTTCATTACTTTTTAGGGAAAAAATAATCAAAAAAGTATATATTTATACAGCAGGTGCCTCTCCTTTTCAAGTATGTTTCAGCTAACAAGAAGAGCAAAAGGGAGTTGCCACACATGGTATTTTCAGTGTACGTATATTTGTTCACAAAAGTCACAAGTGAAATGTTTAACCTAGGATCCACAGCAGGGGGCATCGAGGAGCCGAAGTGCTTGGAATAAAGCAAGCAGGAAAATTTTGCACAGTCCAACTTCATGAACATATTTTGTAAAAAAACCCACGGGAATAAGCAGTGGAAAAATAGAAGAAGAATAAATCTCTGGAATATGCTTTTCATGGCGGTGTTAAGCAAGTATATCTCTGAAGAAAGCAGAATTGTTCAGCATTTAAGAGAGAAAAAAAAAAAGAAAAAAGCATGGAGCAAATGACCTTCCAGCTCAGGGAAGTTTTAAATTTTATGCAGATATTGCATTTTTATAGGCATTAATTTTATACACATGGAGAAAGCAACATAGGCTTTCTGAACTATTGTTTCTATGCATCTGCTACACGGTAAACACATACATACAAGAAATAACATTATTTTAATTAATTAATTAATTAAGAGTAAATGAACCACTAAGGTACTTGAAGAAGAATATTGAAGTGAACTAACATATTCACAGATTAAGTGGAGATACACTATAGCTCTGATTAAACATCAAAAAGAGGAAAAAAAATCATGTTTAATTGAAAAATCTTCTCTGAATATATTTCCACCGTAATTAAGATAGCATTTGAACAAAATCTTCAATAGCAGTAAAGTAACAGTATTTACAGTCTAACATTTTATCACTGCTCACTAGCTAGAATCACAAGGGAAGATCTGTAATGTTTTGTCGTGAAAGAAATGTCTTCTTTCCCTTGCTGTTCAGTAATCCATGACATTTCTGACCATCTATAATTATGTCTTGTCTTAGATACTGCAAAGGACGTATTTCACAGATCACATGTTTATATATACATGTGTGACTCTACATTTCTCCAGTTGAGAAGTGTCCTTAACATGATTTTTGTATTTGTGAGAATGGACTTACCCATCTGTAAAGGTGTAACAAAATGAAAAAGCTTATCATTCCAGTAGGTACTATTTTCTAAGTACTTTTATTCCCATCAACCCACTAATTAAACTATTTTATTCACTATTTCTAAAATACTACTTCCTCTTGCATGTGTTTGCACTGTTTTCTCCTCCATTTACAATATACAGATCTGCTTAAAACAAGAGAGTATGGAACAAACTATTTCTGTTGACCTCAGTTCACCTTTCAGTGGTAACTTATATACGGTTACTGTACACAGTACACAGTCCTTAAGCCACATAACATAATGAATCCTTTATTTTCTGGAATAGAGGGGCTAGGCAGACCATCACAAAGCGTGGTTCTGCCAGATATAAGAATACCTCATTTTCTGGATACGGGCACACAGGACTGATGCTGCCTAGCCCAGCTAATACATAAGAGTAATTTTTGAAAATGGTACTAAAGGACAAAGTAGCTGGAATAACGGTGTTTAAAAATGTTTAACAACTTGAAAACACAAAAGGTGTACAAGCTGAAGTGATGTAAATTCTCATGCTCCTCCTTTTCAGTCCACTATTTGTATTAATTTCTGTACATGCTGGAAAAGACAGAATAATTTGAAGTCTTTCCAAGTCTACAAGTCACAAAGAAAAAGAAAAGTTCTGAAGTGGTAATCCTTACCTTTGCATTGTAAACCTTGTCTCAAAAGACCCCAGAGTAATGAACCACAGTGGTCACAGAAGGTGGGCACTTTGTAATTGTGAATGCTGAACTTGTGAGGCATGTTGACACTGAAACGCTGGGATCCCACTTGCTGAAAAAGGAAAGCACAGAGTATTTAATTCTAATTAATTTCTTTCCAATCAGTGTATGCCAAGGCTCTGTTATATTTTTAAACCATGTACAATTCAGAGAAGATGAAATAGGTCTATGCTCAGATGATGACCTTTGCATTAGACACACTCCAGCTCCAGAGTTCTTTTCACTACTTTTTCGAGTGGAAAGAGGGGGAAGGGCTGCTGTTGTCCAAGAGATAAAGACTCAAGTCTGCTTCCTAATACTTCTGGGAACAACAATTACATAGCTATCAGGAAAGATCTCTTAATGTCGAAGACAAGGAAGTCACTCCCAATTGTTTTAGGGGCAGGAGGCCAAACTAATACAGGACTAAGAAATAGAAATATATCGCAATCCCTTTACCTTTTTGTATTCCACTCTTCTTTATAATATAACTTTATGATTATGTCATTGATAAATTGTTTGTGTTCAAGGATTCCAAGGTACAATTACTTATTAAAGGATGTCATTGATATGTTTTTATAGTGACCACTGTATAGCAGGAGATTTATTTCCATGTTTTCCCTTCCCTTTCCTATTACCGCTGGCTTCTCTCCAATGATCTAGTACCCCTTCTAAACAATGAGAGCATTATATCAGCAAAGCATGCAAGTCGCCACCAGTCTGGAGCCTGGGAATATAAATCCACAGAAGATTTTGTATCTTCCTGTGAGTACTATGCAAAATCAGCACCAGCCAAACACAGTCTTTTATCGCAATCCTATGCACGTGATCAAGTTTTGGACAGAAAATACTGGTTGTGAACAAGGTACTAAAGAATGTTTCCAGTATGCAAAATGGTTGTGAATTGCACAGGAAGAGTAAGATCAAGTAAGTGTTTCAAAGTCATAAGAGAGGCTTAAAACCACTGTTACACACAACTTTGACTTGTAATTTAAAACTAGGCTTTTTCAAGCATATACAAGTAGGGTTTTAACACATAAAGCTGGCCAAGGAACTGGGATCACCCAGAGATTACCTTGCCTAACACTCTGTAGTGAAAGGCTCTTGCTGTTGCCCAAAACAGAACAGGACAGTGAGTGTTCATTAGCTTTTCCACTAAAATACAAACAACTTCTGTATAAGATAAAGCATTGACTGGTTACAGTTGAGGGCTACAACTATTAAAAAAAACCATAAATGCCACTACCCTCCCCAACTGTCCCCTATCAACCTAGCCATAAAAGTATTCCTCAAAGCTGAGTAATCTAAGGGAGCTGAACACAACAGCAGTCACACAGCTCCCTGGTGTATGACCGTCTGCAGAAATTAACATTAATTTCCTAACCATGCCTAAAAGGGTCGTCTTAGTTGAAAGAGACCTTTAACCCAATGGTAAGGATTGCTTTGTTCTCTCTTCTGATCCAGAGCTGAATGAGCTGCTGGATGATATTTGCCTCCCTGACAGTACAGTTCTGATGGTAGCTAATTTAATTTTCCAGTGATGTCTTAATTTATTTAAGTACATGATAACAAAGCATACATTGTGTTAATTCCATTAATATACAAAAGCTTGCTAGAGGTAGGGAGTAATTATGCTGCAAAACCTGTTTGCTATGCAGTACCCTGTGTTATCACTGCACAGTATCCACGGGCCTTCTTCAACATACGGCTTTTGTTCTACATTTTGATGGTTTGGATGCAATCTTTGTTGAGGTGAGACTTCGCAAGCAAATTCCGGGAAGTCTTTTATGTTGATGCCAGATACCCAAGCACACTGCCTATCGTATTGGCTGCTAATGATGCAGTCACATAAAATGCAGTTAAAGAATAAAGGGTTCCAGCCTGTTTTCTTCTGAATTAAAATGACAAAACCTGTATTAACTCAGAAATGGAGAATGTTAAAAATGAAACGGAGTGGCAATACTTCACTGAGACTTTAGGCATTCAGATAGTATAATGACTTTACTAATTAGAAATAAATTGCTGTATAATAATTCCCATGTAAATGAAACTGTTATGTTAATCTGTCATTCCAAAGTAAATGCTGCATCACAAGACAATCAGAAGGGCACATAGAAGTCTGTAACATTTATTGATTAAACAGTGGAGATGACACACTACTTTGAACAGATGAAAGTCAGAGTTGTATCTAGAAAATTTATTTTATAAACATTTACCTCATCGTGAGTTTCCTGTTTTTTTAAGCCAGCACACTTCGTTATTATAAGTTCATGGCATCTCTTGTGGACTACACAAGTGCAAACTATAAACAAAAAACAGAAAAAAAGAATGAGTTTTCATGAAAACTAATTTGAAAGCAAAAGAGTGATCTCAGAAAACTAGAAATGCCAGAATTTGAAAGGTTGCTAGTGGCTGGTGACTTGGCATGTCCTATGAAGTAAGGCTGGTTTACAATAGCACATTTTAATGACTTTTCAAGAGACAAAAGAATTTTAAGAGAACTAAAACAAAAATCTCAGTATGCAAAACTACAAAATACCTTCTGAAATATTAACCATAACTTTTCTCATTTTTACATATTTGATTTATGTGATAAAGTCTGTCCACATTATATGAGACCCAACAGCAAAAACAATTCCTGCCTGAAGAGCTTCCAGAGGAAAAGAGACATACAGGTAACTCATTGTAGAAGTCAAAGAATAGAAAAAACAAAGTTGAACGTTCTTTCTGTAATACATTATCTTAAGTTGATAACAGTAAAAGGTTTCAGGAGGCAAAAAATGCTTTGTCAATATTCACACTGATTACTTAACCGATGAATAAAATTTGCAGATATGACATTAAACTGTACAAGGTCTCTCATACTGTAGGATTCAAGGTCATGAAGTGAAGAAAAAAACCCTTCAGAATGAAATAATGAATTTAATTTTCTTCTAGGTCATTGTTGTAAGAAAAAAACCAAACAAACAGAGCTCAAGGAACCTTTTTTGTATGTTAATACAGTAATTCTTATTATAGCATGTAAAACCATTATTTGCACATACTTATTTACAACAAAATTTTGCCAAGTCTTTTGTAAGTGAAAAATCACCGCTAACTTGATTATTTCTACTTGTCAGCGGAGAATTAAGTACAAAGACGTCATCATACTGCATAAAAAAATTAGAGTACACAAACTGAGTTGAAAATGGAGATGAAAATGAAGCATTTCTGCAGTCTTTGCTATAACCTCCTCTAATGATGACCTCTATAATTATCTCATCTGTTTAATTACAGTCTTTGCAATTACCTGGCATTTTTAAACATAGCATCTTAAGTAGAATAAAGAATTCACAATTTCAAAATGCAAGAAGTAAAAAATAAAGAAGCCAACATCTGCAGATATTCCCTCCCGAGCTGCACGTGCATCAAGAGATACATAGGATCTGCCGTTCCATGATGTTAACTGGGCTCCCACTTCATGTATGATGTCTAAGACCAACAGTTTTGAAAAATTCTACCATCACTTTCTGTAAAGATTATATCTTTGGTGAGACAAACTTATTCTAATCATCGTGTGCTGATTTCTTGGCACTGCACATACACCACGTCTGATGAAAATATCTTATTATTATACATTATAACATAACACATATATATGCAAACTGTCCTCCTGCAGATTTTCGCTTACCTTGACATTGGTATCCCTGTTTTCCTATTACACCCCTGAAAACAAAACAGTGTTTCAGAAAATTAAGAATATGCATTTTTAAAAGCGAAAAACATTTTTGCCTTTCTTTACTGGACATGCACGATTTTCAAAAAGAGCTTCTTATAACCAATAATTTGATAATTGCATGCCTAGACTGAGATCAGTTCAAAGCACGAACCACATTACAGCTAAGAGGTAACAGGTAGGACAATAGGTTGCAAAGAGAGTCAGAAGACACATTCATTGCAATAAAATAGGCAAAGCTAAAGGGTATGTAGAGTGGGAAGGCACAAACCGGTAAAATAGTCACCAAGCAGGTCTCTAAATAGACAGAAGATTGCATTTTCCAGTACTGTTGCTTGAAAACATCTTAGTCTAACCTGCAGATATTTCTTAGCAGAATGTACATGAGTTCATGTACAATTCACATAATTTCACATTAAGACTGATTCATTACACACTCCTAAGAAATACTATGGATCACATCATAGATTATGTGTATTAAGGTACAAATCAGTATCTCTAAGTAATTTTGGAAAACAACAACAGAGTTGCTGAAAAATAATTGAAATATTAACGTCTCCATGACTTTTCCCTATCTGAAAATCATGAGTACTCGAAACTAATGTAAATAACTTCTGCAAGGAAGTTCTTGAAATACATTATAACAATAAAGACCCTGTACACTGAGTACCCAAACCCCTGGATCATAGTCTAATATACTTGTATTCCATTAACTCCAGTAGGATGTATAGGAGCTTGAGATTTCCTAGGAGGAAGATAGTGATACTTCGGCATTGAAGAAAGAATTCAGTCTTCTTGTCAAAATGTAGAGGTAAATCCACACTTTGGCACCTACAGAACAATAGACTGGCTGTCTACCTAGGATTTATAGTGTGCACTAGACAGGAAAAGATTGAACTTTGTGGTTCAGAGAAATAAAAACACATTCTAATATCTGTGATGGAAGTTTAAGAGTCTTCTATTATCGTCTGCAAAACTGGTGACAGCTTAAAATTAAAATGAAGCTACTACTCTACATCATTTACAATTCAGGTTCTACAAAAACATGAGGAAAAACTTTTTCACTGTGAGGGTGACAGAGCACTGGCACAGGCTGCCCAGGGAGGTTGTGGAGTTTCCTTCTCTGGAGACTCTCTGAACCTGCCTGGATGTGTTCCTGTGTGGCTGCCCTAGGAGATCCTGCTCTGGCAGGGGGGCTGGACTAGATGATCTCTAGAGGTCCCTTCCAACCCCTGACATTCTGTGATTCTGTGTAACTCCTCAATTCAAAGTTGCAAGGAAAGCAAAGTCAGAGTTGCTTCATACCATATAAAATCTCTGCAGTGCGAACAATATGTTGGTTGTCTAAGGTAGGTGGCCATAAACTTGTGTCCATTAACCTGATGTACTCTGCGTCGCACAGCGCCCTGCCGCTTTCTGGGGCGCATACGCTCCCGGAACACACGTTCTTCATTGTCTTTGGGTGCTGAAAGAGAGGAAGAAAGAGTAAATACTTGCTGTATCAGACATAAATGTGGGAGAACTCAAATGCAATACGCAAGTAGATATTCATCAAAAATAAAAAAAATTCTCTCTGCCTGGCAGTGCAAGATAACTTACTTTTTCTTTTTTAGCAAGGGTTTTCATTGCCTAGCATAGGAATTTTTATTTGTTCTAAACCTCTATCCGTAAATTCATGCTACGCTGGGAATAAGTCTTTTGTGCTTTACCACTATCGGCACACTGGAAACCTCTTTAACAGTAATTACACAGATTCTCAAAACAGCTCAAGCTCAGACTTTCATCTCATCTGATCTTCATGGAAAAAAAGAATAAAAAACTATCAAAAAATCCCAACATTCCCTGGTCCCCATACGCTCGAAAGCGCTGACACAAGTGCCAGAAAGCCAAGTACAAATACATATTATCAAGCAGAAAAAATATTCCATCCAGAACTGATTACTTTGTAGAATTCCTGATTAAGATCTGAGCTTCAGGCTCTAATAACCTACTTTGATACACACACACCTTCAGTAAAATGTTTAAGTGAGGGATTTTGTTCCTTTTAACCAATTCCCATTCAATCATACATGAGATTTAATCGTAGCAGAAGTAAAAAATGAAGTTGATATATCTCAGAATGAAAATCTTTGGAAAAAATCCTCCAGAGTGCATCAGGCCTTTTTTCCCAAAGCTTTATTTTGAAAAGTATCAGTAACTTCTCCATAGTATTAAGCAAAAGCTGAGGATTAACTTATTGTTGAGGCAATGAAGTTGTTGTTAATGGAAGTCAGATTTTACAAGCATTCCTTGAGCCACCTGTGTCTCTGCACAATAGAATTTCAGATTTGGAGGGGGCCACATTCAGTCATCCGTTGCCAGATGAATCTGTGCACTCGCTACCGCAGTGCACATAACATTTGGAAAGGTATTTAACACTTGCCATTCTCTGAATTTCAGCTACTCTGAATCATTATGATGACCTAAAAATGCTTTGTTCTGCTGCAAGCTTGCCTGCAAGTGAAGGAGTTCTCCAAGGAACAGTATTTAACAGTAACACACAAAAAATCAGAAGTCCAAGAACAACTCAAATCTATAATAATCTCAAATTATTTTACGAATACTGAAATAAACCCTATTTTTGAGGGTTGTAAAATTAAAAGGTATTGATTTAGGAATTCCTAGAAAATGGTCTTAAATAAAGCCAACACATGGATATATCCTGAGAAAACACAGAGCACAGACGCACAAATCAAGATCAGTTTCTTTCAAAGCACAGCAAGGGCTAAATACTAGAACACTAGCAAATTCATTTATGCATTAAAAAGCCTAAGCTCCTTACACATTAACATCTTTTAAAACTTCATACACAGGGTGGGTTTTCATCCTAAAGAAGTGGCATCTGTGGGATGGCCAGAATAGCATTACTTTTCTACTCTAAATGGAGCTCTGGGCAAATAAACGTTAACTTGTACACAAAGCTACCCCTTTTTTCAATGGTAAAATACAATAAAAAAAAAATGGCTTTAGGTGTTTCTTCAAGACAGAGGTAAGAAGTACCAAACAGTTATCAATTATGCTTATTTTAATGCATTAAGCAAAATTCTGATGTCTAATAAATACCACAACTCCTTGAGAGAAAGACTGTCTTCCACATAGAATAAGTAATGAGAAGTTGGAAATTCTACGAAAGACTCTGATTTCCAGCTTCTGAATGATTTATTGACTTTATAAAGCTGCTGAAAAATCGTTTAAAAGTTATAGGAAATAATTCTATATTAACACAGAACTGGATTTTTTTTGTTAGAGTTCAGATTGTGGAATTTGCTGTATCCTGGATGTGAGAAAATTAAAACCTCCTTCTCCTGGAAAGGGTTCACAAAATGTTATGTGCTTATATGAAATGAACAAGATGTTCTGACAGTGCACAGCTCACACTTGATATGATAATCAGTCTACAATACAGCTTTTCTCCTTTTCTCATCTTAAGTGTAATTCTTCACAGATAAAGCACCTGCAATATTACAGAGTGGATAAAAACTTTGGCTAGAAAAATATCATGACACTACTTTATTTTCTTTTTCTTACCAAAGTCTTAAAATTAATTTTACTGTACTACTTTTGGTTCGTTATCCAATACTTCTATGCAATTCCATTTTTCACTTAAAATACTTAGGGTTAAAATAAAACACTGAAACAGTGTATTTTTCAGAAATGCACTGACTTTAGAAGCGGTACAAGCAATACACCTGAAATTATCAAGTAAAACCACAGGCCTCAATTATTGATGTAATTTCCACACAAACAGTGTATCTATGTGTGAGAAGGATGTTCAGACAGCTCAAGGAAATGTAGTTTTCTTGGTCTGTCTTGGATAACATTGGAGGGCCATTAGCCAATCCCCCCCAAACTGTCTCTCCTGCCAGCCTGCTGTTCCACATTTATCCCTGAAGCCCAGCACTCGGCCAAACCCGTGCACCACACCCTGCTTGAGTGTCGAGCTGCCGAGATGAACCGTGTGTTCGAGAGCGGTGATTCCACTGGCACCTCAACTCTCCTTACGGCCCCTGTACAGGACTTGGCTGGAGGGGGCTAGAGCAGCCCCTGGCATTACAGCGCCAAACTGGGCACCAGTCTTCTGTCAAAGCAGACCAGGTCACCTGTGATCTATACACAGGGTGTGCGTTCAGCTAGCTTTTCGTTGTCACTCAGCAAACCCACATAAGCAATGCTTTTCCACAGTCCTCAAGCAAAACGCTGCCACGTCTTGCCCGGCTGCTGTGGCTGATGAGCACAAAACCAGACAGTGACTCCCTCGGAAGCAGATGATGCCATCCGCGCTGGCTCAAACTCAGGGTTGCGAACCACTCGTTTCTAGCAGCACTAATGATAGTCTTACATTTAAATTAAAATCTATTTATCCCATACTGAACAGTCACACTGGAGATGTTCATTTAACAATCTGAAGACATCTACTTAGAAAGGGAGCTACCGTGCTCTATCCGAACTTCTGACATTGCTCGAGAGCAGAAAAGCAAAGATTAGTACAGGGAGTACTTGGGAAAATCTCCAGCATCCATGTGATGCAGTCAACTAGTTTTTTCAAGATATACTTTAGAAAATACTAGCATCCCAAGCAAAATTGGCCCTTTAAATCGAGTTTTAAAAGAAAAAGTGTGAAAGCAGTATTCTAGAAAATATCATTTGGATACTGCATACTGTGCGTGACATTTTATTCATAGTAGAGGAATTCAAACTAAAATTAAGTGGATTTGTTGTAGTCAGTCTATAAGCAAGTTCCAGCGTAACTTACAGTATTTCTACTAAATAGTCAGTTATGGTTTCCTTAGTAAAAGCTGTTTCTTTATATAATGTACATTCTGGCCCCTGTTTTGAGTTTGAGTGCTTCAGCTCTTTATTTTATTCAGTTTATCCTTTTTAATGCATTTATTTAACTTTCATTTTCAATGGAGGTAATAAGAAAGGTTCATGATAATTTCCAAGCATTCATGGAGAATACTGTCAATGCAGCACATTGAATTTACACTTTATATGACGGTATTTGAGAACTGGCAAATTTAGAACTAATTGTGTCTCAAAACTATACCCAGTAATGCCACTACTTCTTTTCACTGCAGCCAAGAGTAAATTTTGAGTTATTTGGAAAACAATAGCATATAATTGCTTTTATAGACTCATATGTACACACAAACAGATTGCCTATGCTTTCAAAGGCTGAAAAGACTTGCAGGCTTAACTCCAAGCTCTTAGAGAGATGTTATAAAAGTCAGAAGTACTTGGCATACAAAATAGCAGAGAATTCAAAAACACTTGCAAAATGTCTGGAACTATATTTAATGATATTGTTTTAAGTATGAATTGTAAACTATAACTTAAAAGATAAGAAAGTGACACAATGCTCAGCAAACCTCAAAGAGGGAATGATAAGAGTAAAAAGACCCTGTACACCAAAAACCAAAGGCTCAACCATGTCAGGTGTCACTTCATGCTAAGATGGTTTCACAGCATAAATGAGAAGGGCTCAAGAGCACTAACTGCAAAAGACAGAACTATCCTGCGCAGCAAAACGCGCCAGTTCCATTTCTTATCCTCTTTGTTGCTAGTGCTTAAAGAATTCTGACAACTAACAAAAATATGGAAAACATAAAGCAGAAAAAAAGAGAGAAATTATACACACAGATTAAGGTAAATGTTACCATATAATTCATAAAGTTGTTACTGATGAATACAGAAATTAATTGGATAGTTTACAATAGTCATAGAAAGAACATGAAATTTTTCTATATCTTTCTCTAGAAGTATAATATTTCTATACTATTTCTTTTTAAAGGAATAAACATGCAGGTTTTGCTTACTATATCCAGAATCTGTTTTCTTTAGGAAAGGTGACAGGAAATTTCTTGTTTAATAGGAGAAGAATCAGATCCCTAGATAACACTATATTGTTAAAGAAAATGAAGATAACTAGCATTACTAAAGAAATGAAAAAAACCCTCACAGAATGCCTGAGATTTAGAATAGAGAGGTGTCTTGACAAGTCATGTCTGTTAATGTGAGCTACTGACTGAATGCATTGAAGAATAAATCGCATTTTAAAGTATATCAAGCTCAAATATGGTGGGTGGTTTTGTAGCATGGGTTCAGGCTCAAATTTATTTGTCTTTGAACATGTGCTTATCTTTAAATGCCTAAATTCTTGTCTAAAAGAAGGATTCTTCCTACATGTATTTAAAGACTTCCCTTGACAGGCAAACAGATAAAAGTGATTGGGGTTGTGACAGGCACACATTTTCATTTCAAGGCTTGTTATACTTTCCTTTTTTTCTAAAAAAAAATCCCCAAACCTATAAAGCTATCCAAATGATTATTTACATACAATTCAAACTTTTTCTACACACCTAATAATTTTCAAAAACACATTCATTAGCTAACTCAAAGCTGAAGGGTCAACAGTAACTTCCCACA